AGGATGTGTGTGAGAGGGATGTTCAGAAAGATATTAATTTCTTACAATTCTAGTTGTGTTTAGATTTTTGTAAACTGTGTCATAGGTGTTAGTGGAAGGGGGCTTTGGCCCCAGTTCTGTTGGGAATTAGCTCACCTGAGAAGGAGAAGCAAGACTTGGCTCACCACCAGCACTCTTCACTTTGATTCCTTGTTGACCATTTCAAAATATTTGGTTTGAGCCCTTTTGTTTTATTTGGCTTCATCTGCTCCCCTTCAGCCAGTTCCCCAGATTCATTAAATAGATCTTGGCACTGATCCTTGGCTGCAGCTGAGGAATGTGCAGTGCAAATTCAGGAAGAGGAACAAAGGTGTCATAAAGATTACTGGGCATTGCCTTTGTCCTGCTAGATATCAGACTAGTCCCCTGGCATAACAAGAAAGCCTGTAGGCTATTCTCACTGTAGTGGCTGCCAGCCACTGTACAACATGGTTTTTATAACTATTATGTTTCATGAATTGTAATAATAATTTTTATCCAGTTACAGAGAAGAGCTGTGTGTGTAAAGCCTCCTGCCATCAGAACTACTCTGTGCCCCTGTGGTGATGGATGGAGCGTGTTACCTTTAAGAAACATTTGTGCTATCAGTATACTATAGATTAGAGAAAAACTGGGCCAACATGTGCAGTAGACTAAAATGAAGTGTGTGTATGTGTGTGTGTGTATACTTCTGTACTTTTTCCTTAGTCTGATTGGTTAAGTACTTCACTGAGTTTATCATTTCAAGGACTGTTGGAGACATACAAAAGAAACAAAATAGCAAAAAAGTACTGTGTTCCTGTTTTCCTTACCCTCCTGAAACTGGTGCACATAAAGGGATCTGAGAACAAAATGTGGCCTTAAAACCCTCTTTTCCTCCTTAAAAAATCTCTAAGATTTAGGAACTAATGGGTTGTATGTTTTATGCAGCCGTTTAGGTTTACTGCAATGACTGAGATGTTCATACTAATGCTGCATCTTCTAATCTTCGAAGTAGTGTGATATTTCCTGTTACCACTGAAGGTGTCAACTAGGACACTTTTGTTCAGGTGACTTCAGCTCATAGGAGATACTGATTTTTGGAAAACCTGGTTAGTTATTTTGAATGAGAATTGATATCTCTTAAAGTCTTTCTCATGGAACCAACTTTAATATTAAGTTACAGGATTTTATCTCAGAACCTCCATATTTCTGCTGTAAATCCATTCATTTCCCTGAGTTTATTCCATTGCACGTTGCCAGTTTAAGAGTACGTTTGGCCATGATGTGAATGCAGAGCTGAATTGACCTTTGAGCTGACTGCTTCTAACATGCATACTTAGCCATGCTGAGTGCTTTCTCATCTGCTTTCCTCTGATTGTCTCTTAAAAGACAAAAGGTACTGAAAATACAGCAGAAATAAGATCAGAAATGTGCCCCCTGCCCCTTCTCACAGCCCAAAACTAAGGGATTGCTCAAATGTAGCTAATTGTTCAACTTGGAGCTGAGGAAAACTGGTATCGGATATAGAAGTAAAAGATTTTACAAGGGTAAACAAATCCCCATGAGTAACTAAGAATTGCAGCTCAAAACCTAAGTTAATATCTGGAAAGCTGGCTCTTGAAATATGTGAGAAAAGCAGTACTTTAAATACATCTTTAAAATACTTAATGTACAAAATTCATGTTTAAATGTAGAGGGTTAAGAGCCAAAGGGTTTTGACTTCACAGTCATGGTGGTAAGTGCAGTTTAGTGGGGTGCTGATAGGTAGATACAGCTAAGTAGCATGAAGGATATGAAGAGAAGACTCCAGGAGGAGGGGATGTGTGGTATAAATACTCTGTTACTGTTCAGGAGTGACAAATTGATAGCACAGGGAAAAATCATTTGTCTGCATTTTTTTTCTGTATACAAAGAATTTAAAAAACAAAACATGTTATAAAACTTCCACTCTTTACCAAGGAACTTTCCAAGTACTTTTCATTGAAGGGTGAGACTCCAAGAAAAGAACTTTAGCTTATGAACCCCTGTGAAAGTGGTAACAGTGTACAAAGGACTTAATTCTTCTATATCCTGTTTTATGCAATACTAGGATATTACATTGCATGATATTTAAAGCAAAGGAAAACCACATTCCTATGTGATGTGTTTACAAAAAACAGCCACTTGGATGTTTTTTAATGATTGCTTCATAGACTGGATATAGGAACATGGCTGAGCGTATCAAACAGCAGCTTCTGTGAATGTTTATTAATGAAATCTTGGAGTGGTTTGAAATTGGATGTGCCACAGGCATGTGTACTCTAGTGAGCAGCTGTCTCTGGTAGTGAATTAATCTGGTGAGGGAGAAAATTGTGTTAAAATCTTTACAATCCAAAATGAAAATCTTTCATCAGTGTCAAGAGAGGTTTAGTGTAACCCAGTAGTTTCTACTGCAGAGGAGTGTGATGTTTAAAAATTTTTTTAATAACAAGCCTTTATAGGGCTGAGGAGGAGAAGGAAAAGAAAGAGATGTAAAATGGAAGATTTGAAACAGTGGAGAAGATTATTTAAAGCCCTTTGACATCCATGCAAGATTATAAAGACATCCTGAATGTACAATGGGGGGTGTGCAAAAGGTGTGGGAAGGAACTTCCGCCAGACTTTCCTCTGCAGAAAAACAATGAAGTAATTCTCTACAGAATGCTCCTTTCCTGAGTTTTTCAGCTGGCTTAGCTAGTTTTCAGGAACAGATTGGTTCCTGTGAGCAGAAATGCCAAATATATATCCATTTAGGTATAACATGTCGAGTGGGGGACAAATGGCTTTGGTCTGCCTTGTGTGTATACCTGCTCCTGTAGACAGTGGTCAGTGTTTGAATCCTGTGTACTAGGACAACAAAAGAAAACATGCTTCTGTGTTGTTTTATTACCTATAACCACTGTGAATTGCCTTTCATTCTTTAAAAATTGGAAGGTGCTCATAAATCAAAATAATTTGAAAAACTGTATATACTGTATAAATGTATTCCCTGAGGAATGTGATAATTTTCTTCTACAGTGGAGTAGATTCTGCTTTGTCCACTGCTGCTAGTTCATTTTGCTTGGTTAAAAAGATGTCATGAAGTAGTTCAGAACAGTGAAACCAGTTATTTTCTGCAGCATACTAGTCAGTCACTTCACCCTTTTCTAAGTGTTTTGTTTGTAAAATAGTGTAACACCTTACCTGCTTTTGCAAAATATTTAGAAAGCACAGTGTAATTTTAAGGAATTTTGTCACAGCAGATGTGCCCTCCTCATCTTCTGTGGTGTAGATCTTAATTTTGTCCACACTTTGATCTCTTTCAAATGCTTTGAAAGATCTCTTGTCACTTTCTCTTGGCTCACTTTACACATGAATTGCATATATTGAATTTGTTGATGAGGATGATCAAAAATATGTTTTTGCATTCTACCCAAGCACTTTGAGTTGGATCTTATGGACATTCAGTGCACAATGTACTTAATCCCTGCAAATGTATTTAATCTCATTCCACTATGTTATTATGTTGCTCTAATACCAGGTTTCTCCCCCCCACCTTTTTTTTTTTTTTAAGAAAAACACTATCAAGTAATGATACAGAGCTCTCTCACTTACTGTTTTGTACCACTCTTTCTCACTGTGTCTATCTTTCGGACAGATACTCAGCCATTTATAGACATAAATCCATTTACTTCAGTGAGGCTGGCCCTTTTTACACTGGCTAGACACCTGCTCTGCTCTATGCACTCAACTGCTGCTTGGATTTATCGGAGTACGAGATAATGCAGCGTCAGAGAATGCTGCAAGCTTAAAAAAAAAGTAATTTAAATCATGGGAACTGTGAATTGTATGCTCAAATCCTATAGATTATGGGGTGAGGTTTAATCTAAGTCTTAGGAGCAGAATCTCAGATATTCTGTTTTCCTTATAGAAGCATTCACTGGTAGATGGCCATCGTGAGATGCTGCAAACACTCTGTGCCTCTGGATTAAAAGTATTTGTAATGACAAGTGGAACAAGGGCAAAGATCCTTGCTTGTGCTAATCACTATGGTAGTGCTAATTTGTATTGCCAGTCCATTCAAAAATTGAGATCTGAGCTCTGATCACAAAAAAATAGTGTAGTCTGCACACCCAAGAGGAGAATTTTGCCCTTAAGCTTTTAAAAAACCTAGCTAGACCAATGGAGCCCTCAAGTACAATTTATGCTGTAATTGCATAGTGATGCTATAACATATAAACTAATACAGAGAAATTTGTTCCTTTATTTTTTTTACTGGAATAGTGTGAAAGCATCGTTGAGTACATTGTGTACTTTAGAGAATTTGTGTTCTTGGAGAAAACTAATGCTTCTCATTTTCTGGAAAATAATTTCTGTCTCTACACTTGTGGCTCACAGAGCAAGGCTAGTGTATAACATAGGTCTTCTGGGAGGATAATTCAGATTCTTGCCCTGTGTTCTGTAAGAATCCTCATACTCATTCTGCACTTGTTCTGCCAAACAGGCTGCTGCTTCATTTCTTCTGTGCATCAAGTTTAAAATCTCATCATATTTGTGGTTCTTATTTGTCATCATTTTTCCTAAGCCAACCTCCTATTAGTGACTTCACTGCTTCTGCCAATTCCTTAGGTGGAGATGGCTTAAGTGGGTGTAACCAAAATGAAAAATGGAGCTAAATCGGGTGATTCAGAGTAGGATGAGATAATGTGGCAACTGGCACTATTTTAAGCATTCTCTGTGTAGTTCATCTGACTCTGAATGTATAAGGAACTAGAGAAAATGTAATGGTAATTGTGATCCAGTTTCACTTGTATGTAGTCAGGTTGTAAATCAAAAGATCTGCATTATGGAGCTCTGAAATAAACATAAGCAAACTTATATCTTAAATGGATGAAGAAGTTTCTCTCAGAAGAGATGGGAAGGAAACAACATAGTTAAATATGGTGGTTTTGAGGGGTTTCTGTTATGCCTTCTTACTATGCTCCTGCTTTCTCTACCCATAGCTTTCTTTGGGAAGTACCTTAATGAGTACAATGGCTCCTACGTGCCTCCTGGTTGGAAAGAATGGGTTGGATTACTTAAAAACTCCCGATTTTACAACTACACACTCTGTAGAAATGGAGCGAAGGAGAAGCATGGGTATGACTACTCCAGGGTAGGTCCTATTGATTTATTTCTATGTTTTTAAACACTTGGCTGTGGCCATAAGAAAGCTGTGCTTTAGGGGTTCAGTCTAACTAAAGAATTCTTCTCATAGTTGAAAGTGGATCCATGTAACATTAGCCACAACTCAACAGGCATCATGTTTGGGCTTTTCCTTATCTTCCATTCCAGGAGAGTCATGTTACTGAAAAGACTGTTAGTGGCAGTGGAAGCAAACAAAATCTCCTGAGACTGTATTATGTACTGTGAGCTGAAGATGTGAAAATGGATTTAAATGCTGCATGATAACTATTTCTGTGTTTTGTACTTTAATTACTGTGTGCTGAGTCTGATTGTCATCTCTTCCTCTGGTACAGAACTGACTCCAGTGGAGTTACACAAGCGTAAATGCAGTAAGAATCCAGTCCCCTCCAGCTAGGCCCATCTCTTTGTTAGTTTAAGAAATTTGTTTCACAGCCACAGTATGATGGAGAATTCATAATATCTTGGTATGTCTTACGATAATTCTGAATGAGTGGAGAATTCAACTATTAATTTTGTATCTCTGCACATTGTTACAGGCACACATTTCCTAATATCCTTGCAAGGATGTTATACCCTGGCCAAAATTACTAAAAAGCTCAATAATCATTGTCAAATACAGTATCTTTCTCCCCCACACACACTCCTATCTAGCATGTTACAGATCAAACAGTGCTTAGTTACCTTATTGCAGTCAGGAGTTTTATTTCAGCCAAGAAGTGCTACCTTTCCAAAAGATCCAGCTTTTGTGAATTCCTAAAACAGCCTGAATTGTCTCTGAATTATGATGATAAATATACCCATAAGATGCTGTAGTAGTTTAGTATATAACTCAGGAGCTGACTTACTCTGGAGTGATGCTAATTTATAAGGTGTATTTGTTTAACAGGGATTTGGTTCACTTTCTCCTATTGAGCCCAATTCTTAACCTCTGTATTTGTGTTTCATTAGCAATGTCTTCACAGTCAGTTTTTCCTTTAAAAGGTTGATGTCTGATTTCCTCCTTCCATGCCCCTACTTGGCATTTTTAATTGAATGTGCTTTGCATTGAAAAATAAAATGTAATAGGCTTCTAGGGTTTCATTTTTCTATCACCTGCTAAGGGGAAGCAGCAACTGAGGTACAGAACTACTTGTCTTTTATTTCCCTTCTGATCTATGAAGAATGAGAGAGCTAATCTTTACAGCCAGGTACCAAAAATGTTACAATGGAAATATATCTTACATGGAACACTGTCAGGCGAGTGATTTCCTAGAGTACAGTTCACCTTTGTACCAAGGAGCCAACAGAGAACTTTGTTCCAATACCCTCAGCTGTTTTGTGTATGCAATATGTTGAAATGTTTAGGTTTTAATTTGTTTTAGTTTTTCTTACTGAGTTTTGTAATAAGTAGAAAACGCTTGATGAAAATATAAATGTTTTTATAATCTTCATAGTCTTGCATCATACACATCTGTGGTAATAAACAGATGATAGTGTGCAGAGCAACAGCACTTGTTGATGTTAGTGCTGGAGTTCAAATGAGCAAACAAGCTGAAATACAAGACTGCTTCTCTCTTTCCTGCAGTTTTTGTTGCTAGAAACTTAATTTACCAGCAATGGACTATAGAATCAGATTATTTTTTAGCTCTATCTATCTATATATATTATAACATAGTTAATGTTAATCATATTCTAATAGAAGACTGGGGAAAACACTTTTGCTTCTGTCCTTCAAAATGACTGTGAAGCACTGGTCGATCCTCTAAAAACCAAATCTTTGCAAATTTTCTAACAGGGTATATTCTACTTATTTTGTTTTCTACCAGTTTCTGTCAACATTTCAGATAAATTTTTAATTATGCATATGTTTGTGTAGTCTGGTACAAACTCTACAATATGGAGCTTTTAAAAAACAGAAGTCAGTTAAGGGAAATGTTATGTTTTGGTCTTTTGGCCTGGTAAAAACTGGTTTTACAACATTGAGTTTGAATGATTTTCACTTTGACCCAGTGAAAACAGTCATCTTCAAAATGAAGTTTCAAAACTATGCTTTTATAATGGCTAAATCAAAGATGAGTTGCACACTTCAAAAAGTGATGAACCAGCTTAAAGAACAGGCCCATTTTAGATACATTTCAGTGCTTTTTTGAGAGCACTCCAGGATTCTCTCTCAGCTCTGGGAAGGGTCTCAGGTATTTGGGAATATGTTCAGAAGTTCTTTTTCCTGTGGTGTGGCCTATTGTGCATTCTCCCTTCTCCAGCATATGCTTACTAATGGAAGTCCTTCGGTTAACTTTGATGGAATTATGCCTATGTACACCTGCTTTCATGAGTGCAAGTATCACATCATTAACTGTCTTAATCATGGCAGTTTCGTAACAGGCATGCCTGATGTTGTTGGGATCAGTGTGTGAAATTATAAATGGAGACTTTGCCAACCTTGTTCTGGCATACACAGGAAATAACTTGGAGAAAGTAAGCACAGTCAATGAAAAAGGCTTCCTATGGTGAACAATAAATGCCTTCTCAGATCAAGGGCATTGGCAGAGGTAAAGAGGTGCGAGTGTGTGCACCATGGACAGAAAGCTGTCCTCCCAGAGATGTGCAATCCAGTGTGTGCCACAGCCTATACTTGTTCACTTGACCAGAGGCCAGTGTTATGTCTGATTTTATATTCAGCTGTGACATGACAGTTTGGGGTTTTTTTTAAAGGTGCAGTTTCCTATCCTACTCAAGTTTGAGGGTTACTTACAATTGTGGCATTTCCTGTGACGTAGCCTGAGAACATGGCTTGTCATTGAAAATAATTTCTTCAATCCATATAGCTCTAGTACATATCAGAAGAATTAGTGATACTTCTTAGAAAATAGAAAGATAGTCTATATATTCCAAAGGCAGTTTTCTAAATCCTTAGCAATTTATTTGATATGGCTCTCTCTCTCTATCAGATTGTCACTATGTCTGTAATACTGAATGAAATTTTTGATTCAATTAGCTCAGCAGCTTTTAGCTTTAGTGACTTCTGTTTCAGAGGGAGGTTAAGAAAAAAGAACCTCAAGCCATTTGGATTTTCAAAGCACTTTTATGATGCAAGGTCAAACCATACACTGTGAAGATATTGACAGTAAAAAGCAAAGAAATTGACCTGTAATTTTCTATTTTTTTTAATTAATATTTGATCATTGCATTTAGTATTGTGATCTTCATAATGTAATGACGTGCTCTGAGAAGAAAGAGTCCTGTTTGATCATCTTTAGTCATTTCTGAGAAGAAGCTGTTGATCTTCATATTGCTAGGTAGCAAAGAAACAATTATTTCGGTTTAGTTTTTGAAGTTTTAACATCTATAATGTACTCCCTTCTCCTCCCATTCTGAGTGAAGTAGCTTCTTTTTTGTTGTTTCTTATGGTACCTCAGACTTTCTCATCTCACCCTTCAACTTGAAAGTTTTTTTTCAAGTATCTCATTGTACTTTCACTTCTACTTGCAGGATTATCTAACTGATCTGATTACCAATGACAGTATTACCTTCTTCAGAATCTCAAAGAAGATGTATCCTCACAGGCCTGTACTGATGGTTATAAGTCATGCTGCTCCTCATGGCCCTGAAGATTCAGCCCCTCAGTACTCACATCTCTTTCCTAATGCCTCACAACACATGTAAGGAAAAATAAAACCTTCTTCATTTCCAGGTTCAGGAGTGTAGAAATGCTGGGTACCTCTGGGGTAGCAGTGTTTACTTTGTAATACTCTTGGTATAAGTTTGTCACAAATATGTAAGAGTTTTGAGAAATTTTTTTTCCCTTTTTTTTTTTGCTTCTTCAGAATTAGTACAAGTATTTTGAGAATGGCTACTGCATCTAGAACTCATAAGTGTTATTCACTGAGATAAATGGAAAGGTTAATTTTGAGTTCATTGGTCACTGTGACAGCCTACTGGGGAAGTAATGCACTGCTTTGCTTTGAGCAGAGGCATCAAGTTCTGGTTCTTGGACTGTAATCTCTTCAGGGGAAGACAAAACTCTATCTCCTTGTCCTCATGTATAAACTGTATTATGGGTATTATTAAAAATCATGTAGTATGCAGTAATTATTACTTCCATTTCAGATATGCAAAGAAAGGAAATAAAAGCCTGCAGCTCTGAATTAGACAAGCTATTTGTGTATGACTGATAGGCCTGTACATGACCCTGTACAATGTCTTGAATGGGTCCCAAAAGCAGTATCACCCAGTTCCTGAGTTAACATGTTCATAAGCTCTGTGATGAGATGGTTCTTTTATATAGCAGAGACATTTTACAGGTACAGCTTTGTAATGCTTCATTACAGGCATCTCCTTGCACGCTGATAAATTTAATGGTTCTCCCAAATCGCCTTTTGGCACAACCGAAAACATTCCAATATTTTTCTAATGACTGGTTTCATGCCTTCATTGATGTTCAGCATTTCTGACTTTCTTCCTACATACCCTTTTGTTTTAAAGGAGTTCTGTTTTACTTGGTATTTGTGAAGGAGCTAGGAGCTATTGGAAGTAATAATCAATTGGTAAGATTTGGACTCGGGCCTAGTCCAAAGTCCAGTGAATCAGTGAAGTGAGCTTTTTCACTCTATTTAAAACAGAGTCTGAGAGAAAAAGCTTCTGTTGCTGTAGTGTCTAGGTATTGCATAACTTAGAATTACGTCTTTCATTATTTTGTACTGTGCTGCCAAAGAGTATCTGTGTCCCAGATCTACAGCAATGCAGTATTTTGTGTGTGTTTGCTGTCTTATGCTTGTTTATTTTCTTTGAAATGAAAATTACAGAAATACCAAATGAGCAACTTCTCATAGGTTATACGCAGTATTGACCTCGGTCTTATTAGAAGTGCCTTTGAAAGGCATTCATATCTCAGAGATTATAATCATTTATTAAGCAACATTCTGTAGCAATTTAATTATGCTAGCAGAATGAAAAAGAGTAGACGGATTTGAGGTAGGCCAGCAATGAAAAATATAAACATCTGGTTTTATTTTGCTCATAGTTTAAATTCTATTTTGTACACAAACTAGGTTTATCCTGATTATGAAGTAGTTACACAAAAATGTTTTTAATTGTAGGTGACTTTTCTTACAATGGAAAAAAATACAGGAAGTGTCACTTGATGGAAACAAGTTTTGTTTGTAAAGAAACAAATTATCTTGCTAGAGTAAGGAACTGCATCACTCTTTTGGGTATGAACATAAAATAGTATTTTATGTACATCTTGTGCAAAGAAAATGCCAATCCTAATCTAAACTATTTTTCTGGCACTACATAGTAATAATATGTAAGCATTTTCATTGGTTTGGGTTTAAGATTAAATGTAAGAATGCAGAACACATCAGTCCCTCGCTGTACAAGGTAGTTCTCCAAGAAGGTTTTCCTTTGCTGCTGCCGGTGCGGATGGCTGCAGAGAATGAACAGCTGGGAGTTCAACAGGGATCAGAAATGTTATTTCAATGGAGGGTACTTTTTTACCACCCATCTTTTCCAGGGTCAAATGCAATCAAACTAGGACCGATAGGACTTATCTTCTGTGTACTTTTGAAGAGGTTATCTTAACCAACTTCTAGGAATGTTATGTTTCTGTATTCTTCCTTAAGACAGACAAATCTGTTAAGTGTAAGAGGGTTACATCTGTAGTAATCAAAGAAAATCACGGGCTTTGGTTGGATTAAACAGTGGGAGGTTTCAAATCAGCCAGGAAATCACAAAGTAAGCTGAAAAGAAGTTTGCCAAGCATTTTTTATTCATTCTGGGCATCACATAGCAACAGTTTCCATAACTGTCAGCATTTTCAAAGGAGCAATGTCATTATTTCAGCCACAATAACATTCTGAAATTCAAGAGGCTATTAACAATACAGAAAGAATAAACACCAGCCCTTTCCTCCCTACATGAAGAAACCTCCATTTGCCACCTACGCATATTTTTCAGATAGCATCTAGCAGAGGCTTTAGGCATAAAACATTTCACTGTCAGGTTATTAATTTCATATTTATCTTAAAACTCTTAGGACTACCTGTCATATTCAAAGATACATTAGATACACAGTTTTTTATAAATTTTAACTTATATTACTATTCTTAATCTTAATAACTTACCTTGCTGCTCTGTTGCATACACAAAACCAACAGTAGGTATTTGCCTAATAGGCAAGGAATTTTCAGGGAATTCTCTGTTGGGAAGATAAAAACTGAATATTTTCTGGTTTTTTTTCCTGTGTTACTGTGTCACCCTCTCAACTTGCATTTTTGCACAGACTGAGTTTGTTGCTTTGAATGAAAAAAAGCAAGCCTCAACAAATCAATTAGGAAAAGTAATTTTTGATATTTTGGACTCTGCAGGTAATGTGTTTGAGTCAGGGTATGAAGAAATTCACAAATGTGGTTCTCAAGTGATAACAACTTTTTAGGAATACATATAGTAGATAATATTTTTTTAGAAATGTAAGCTATAATATAGCTTTCTAGTGAGATGGTGATGCAAAGAGTCAGCATTATGGTAATGATATATCAAAATAAATATTTTGTTTAGACTCAGCTAACCTAGACCACTACAATAAAACATGGGAAACCAATCTCTGGAACTGCCAACAGCATCAAATACTGGACAGTCAGTGATACTTCTTTTCATCACTTTAATGGTCTTCTAGGATCATGTGAGAACTTGGAGGGGCAGAGAGATTCCAGGAGGACATTGAATCCAGCTCTCAGGATCTAGCAGGGACTTAAACTAAAGCTTCTAATGATCTCAAAAAAGCCTGGTGGCTGGAAAGTGTCTGCAAATTACAGCCCGATCCCTCATTACTGCTTG